CCGCGCTCTTCTGGCTGTTGAACATTTTGGCGCGAAAGCCGATGTCCGCAAGAATTACATTTTTCATTTTCGCCGCACGATCATGGAGGTGGAGTGGACCTGCATCATGACGGCGCTGAGGTTGATGGCCTCGCTGATGTCCTTCATCCACGACTTGCGCTCGTTCTCCGACGAACAGGTGAACGTCTGCACGCAGGGTGGCGTGTCCGGCGCGGGATTGCGTTCGATGAGCTTGAACGTAACGTTGAGCCCCTCCTCAGCTTCTACAAACGTTTTAGGTCCGTCAGAATGCCGTCGCGTGTGGTGTGTGTAGTGTGTGTGGTGTGTGTGTGGTGTGTGGTATGTGGTGTGTGTGTGTGTGTGTGTGTTACCTTCTTCGAGGGATGGCGACGAGACGAAGACTTTGGAGAACGGGATGATGTCCTTGTACTCGTACTGAGGCGGCTTCTGCTCCGCGGGCTTTTGGCTGAGTCCCAGCCGGGTGAGGTTGGTTGTGAGCCGGTGGGTGTTCTTGAGCGAGGTCTTGATGAGGAACTCGTCGAACATGAACACGTAGCACTCCTTCCGCTTCTTGCCGTAGGTATCGTACAACAGGCCCTCCCGCAGGAAGACCCGACCCTTCATGTGCTCCTCATCCAAAATCTGGTTTACACACAACACACGCGCAATATGAGGTGGTGACGTCGTGTGTGTGCTGTGTGTGCTGTGTTTGTGCTGTGTGAAGTGTGTTTTGTGTGTCCACAGAACTGAAGGGGGTGAGGGCGTACTCGTGGAAGCTTGTGTTTGGGGGTGGAGAGGTGCGCCATGACGTGCTGGATTTTGCGCTTGTTGTCCTCGCGTCGCTTGGTCTCGTCGAGGAAGTTGAGCAACTCTTTGATCTTGTCCAGCGTGGTGACGAGCTCCCGGTAGTCCGAGTGGTTCGACGGCGTGTGCTTGGTGAGCGTCGAGAGCAGCATCTTGTGCCCGCGAAAAAAGAGAGTGCGTCAGCAAGCGATCGTCAGTCACGCCATCAGCTTCATCGATGGAGAGGTGACTCCCACCTCGTATCGTGGGATGCGCTGGATGGGCAGGATCAGGTGGAATCCCATATCGGCGCCACCGGCCGCAGCGCAGAATCTGAGCACGTGGGCCTGCACGGAATGAGATGATTTGTCGTGTGGTCAATCTCTCCTGCGCTCTGTGTGCGCGAGGTCCAGGGGCCGTACTGAAAAGTCAACGTGCTGAGCGCGCAGCAGTTTGAT